TATATTTTTTAATCGTATACACTCGTTAACCTATCGGTGGTGTATTCTACCGTAGAACATCTTTCCAGCTACTTTTGTTATTTTTTTATTTACAAAAAGACTGTAAACCTTTAACATCCTACCGTTTGAATGAATGTTTATTCATGTTTCAATAACGTTCACAGATTTGTCTCAAGAGATAGAGATAAAATTTAAGGAAAGGAAGATTCCTTCTTCTATAAGATCTTCCTTTAAGGACTCCTGAAGTTAAAAATAAATGAAGATGGATGAACTTAATCTTATTTAAAATTAATTTCCGGAGTTGTATATTCGAAATGAAGAAATAGCAGTTTCGATTGGTATATTTTTGATTGTCAGAGGTAGCAGATTGGAAGAACAGAATTTATAATCAAAAGGATAACACTTTTATGTTTAACTATCCGTTTTGGTAATTGTTTACATTAGTGACGACCTCACCGACTTCAACGATTTTGAAATATGTTCGAGTGGCTATAGTCCTAAGCGTACCGATGTTATTTTCTGTAGAAAATAATTGTCGTTTGCGCTTTTTATCCAAGATACGATTACTAGAAATGAAGTACCGCATCGAAGTTCCGACGCACGCGAGCATCGGGTTGCCTGCTGCTAGGAGCGGTTTAGTGAGAACCACGAATAAGTAATTATAATTTATTTTAAATTTATAATTGTTTATTCGTCTTAATATTTGTTGGAAACAGAATCAATTCATCGCATACAAGCAGTAATTATCTAAGTTGATTTGTAATTATATCTTAGAAATTAAGAATGTGTGATAATTATTTCGTACTCCCTCCAACATAATTATCCGTTAACTGTTGAAATTGGTGAGGTAATTACAAATTGAAAACAATTACTCAATTGGTCTGTAGACTGGTTCTAATATACAGGGTGTCCCACCTAACTCTTACATCTTAAATACATCGCGTGTATTGCGATAGGAAGAAATGTCAGAGGAAAACATTATTTCGTTTGGAGGGGGACATACTTTGTTGACCTTCAGATGACCTTGTAAAGGAATTATTCTTATACAATCATACTCTACGCACAGTGTCAACGTATTATACATGTTTAAATTTGTTTTTTTTTTTTTATCAGCTACAAGATAACAATGAGAAAAGTACTCCATCCCGTTTTAAAAATGACCGATGACCTTGAAATCTCATAAAAAAGAAGTAGAATTACATCAATCTTTTATTTTGTATTATATATATTAATAGTTGAAGATTGAAATAGTTCTTTCTGCTTCAGTCATGCTTTTTACAAAATAATTTGTTTCGCTTTATAGAAAGTATATAAAAATGAATTACTTCTCGTTCTGTGCTAAAAAAATGTTTATCTTGTTGAGCATTTTGCCCGTCTATCTGATCTGCGATGAACAACGAATAAAGTACTTTGTTCCTTACTCAAATAATAGATAATATATAAAAACACCACATAGTGATTTATTCTAAACTCTTAGCTATTGAACAGAATCGAGATATTCATTCATTCAACATAAAATACAATTCCACGTTGAACGAATTAAAGCATTTTATCTTCTATTTGTTATTCGAAATATTTCAAGCGCTGTGCTCTTATTCGATTAATAAATAATAAATAAAATCTGCAATAGCGATCTATTCTCAATGCTTAACTATTAATTAGCTTATTCAATAATAAATAATAAATTCGAACTACATGAAATAATTTATTCTCAATGCATATACTACGTTACAATTGTCAAGATATTCTTTCATTGGTTGATAGACAGTTTCGTTAGATTAAAGCTTCACGATTTAAAGCTGTTTCCACGAAGCTGAATCTTCCATTCGTGATTCGAAATGTTTACCTAGATAAGAGATCGCCCGTCTCTGATTACAGCGTTATAAATCAATGGTTTCACCGGTGGTTCACCGAGGGTGCGAAATCCGTTGGTTACGTCGCTGCAGTCTTCGGTAAATTTGGTTTTGTGGGTGCATATACAGTTAATAGTCATTGTCAAGAGGACGGAGCCACACAAGGCGATTGGTTGACCCGCAGTCCGGATTCGCCCCCGGCTGACCCCGTTGCTAACTGACCCACTGACGTTACTGATAGCGGGACACCGTGGAACGCTCGACACGACTCGGTCATTCGTTTGCTCGTTCGCCTTGAAACCTTCCCCGGAAATTTCGGCGATTGTCGTAGACGTAAAGTAAAATATCTAGTAGTTGAACACATTTCAAAGTGTATCATGTTTGACTTCGACTTTGGCAAATAAATATTAACGTAATTAAAAAATTAACGCTGGTCCTATAAAACACGTACAATTCTATGTATATCAATTACAAAGGAAAGTCTATTAACGCATTCGCGACCGTTGACGTGAAATTCAATTTCAAAATCACTTGAAAATCTATTCCTGGCTATGAAAGAATTACGAAGATTTTTTTATTTTATACGCTACATATTTACAACATTGATATATCAAAACATGTTTTGTAATTTTTATCTTCGCCCTAACGATACAAATTCGCGAAGTCCAGCTTCAGAATTTTATTATTCTCGTAAGTACTCGGTATTTGGAACATAAAATATCTGTCGGTTGCGAATATGTTAAATTATGTGGATTTATCATTTGTTACAAGTTTCTAAAGGTACCCGGAACCAGTCGCAGTACTTTGAACAATCTATTTCGATACGCTGAAATAGTTGAACACAAGGACAGAGGTTTTCGAAAGACAAGCCATCAGAATTTTAAACTACAATCAGTCCCATAAATATTCGTACCCTTTATGTCGATCGAAGAAATTTGTTTACAGTAAATAGTAGGTTTGATGTTTCCAAGTTCACGTTTGTATAAATATGTTGATGTATATACAAATATACAGGGTGTCCCAAAACTTGGGGAGGAGCCGGAAATGGGGGGTAGCTGAGACGATTCTGAACAACAATTTCCTTTGCAAAAATGTCGAATGGGGCTTCGTTAAGGAGATATTAAGCGAAAACCCCGACCAATCAGAGCGCGCGTAGACCGTTGGAGCGGCCGCGGTAGCGTAGGCTACGCGCTGGTGGCCGCGCTTGCACGCGAACAAGTGACTCGACGTGCATCGAAACATCGACCTAGCGCGTAGCCTTCGCTACCGCGGCCGCTCCAACGGTCTACGCGCGCTCTGATTGGTCGGGGTTTTCGCTTAATATCTCCTTAACGAAGCCCCATCCGACATTTTTGTAAAGGAAATTGTTGTTCAGAATCGTCTCAGCTACCTCCCATTTCCGGCTCCTCCCCGACTTTTGGGACACCCTGTATACATGTATAAGCTCATTCATATACATATTTATAATGAAAAATCCAATTGGTAATATCAAAACTATTATTTAATTTACTATTAGTCAAACTTCTTCAATAGACATAGAGGTTACGAATATTTATAATTTATAATAATATTTGCGGATATAATCAAAGATTGAAGTTCGAAGTTGTGTACGAAGGCTTCACATCGTGCTTCACATCGTGCTTCACACCCCATCTCTTTTGTGCAGAATTTCCTTATCTTTATTGCTGTTTGTGTATTGGTCTGTATAATAATTTTTTTAACTTTGTCAACTCTAGTTATTGGGTCCTCTTCAAAAACAAGATTCATCTAAAGGTGCTGAACTAAATTTTAATAAATTTGTGTACTCGTTGTATATTCGCAGAGACGGGCAAAACTTGTATCTAAATAAAATTTTCAAATATCGAATAAAAAATGACAAATTTTTATCTATTATTCGTCGAATAAAGATACATATCTAAGATACATATATAGACAAAATAAAGATATGTATCTTTATATTGATTACTGTCGGATAAAAAAATTTATTCGAAGTAAATGTATTCGACGGATAAAGATGACTTACGTTAACTTACTTCGAATACATTTTTTTATTCGATTGTTATCGAATAAAGATAAAGCTAAAGTATTTTCATTCGACTTTTTATTTGAATAATTTTTTGTATCTAGACAATGACCATCTCTGGTTTACTGCTATATCTTTGAAAAATACATTTCGAGGAGAGAAGGGCAAATCAATTTGTCAATAGCAGTTCCTTATCTTAGCATTTGTTACTAAAAATCAAGGGAAATGCATTGTTAACGATTAAATAACTTCAAGAAGGAGTTCGGCAAAGATGGGTCAAATCGGCTGCTTGGTAGTTCTACTATAATATCAAATACTTATATTATCTGTGTACAAAACACGGAAATTGTATAGCTGATACAAACTTTGTAAAAGGTTTCAGAGCCTAAATTAATATAAAAAAAAAATAATATTAAATTCCGTTTAAAATGCAAACTATTTCCAACAAGTTCAAAACATTTTCTCGATCGGCGAACCGCTGGAAAAAAAATCCATTTTCAGTAATAACTTGCCCGATGCATTCGGTGCTCGTCGAAGCACGAACAGCCTAGTTTCTCAACAGTCGACACACGATCGCTAATAACAACGCGAGGAAGCCATAAACGCGGGCACGATCGGTTGGCTGACAAAACTGCATCTCCCAACGCATCTTGGATCCATGTTCACGCGTCGTAGAATTGCGACACGCCGCATTGTGCCGGGAGTTGCTCCCGAGGCTGTCACGAGAACCAGATTGCCGTAATAATTTGATTGATACTCGCTCTCCTTCTCTCTGAAAACGCTTCGAGAACTGGGGGATCGAGAGACCGGTCATTCGTACCCGTTCCTGAAGCAATCGACCATAAAGAGGAGCGAGCAAATCAGGAAACTGACAACGTCGTGGAAGGATGTCCTGTAGCTGCCGATTAAATAAATTCTGAATTTTAGTATCAGAGGACGAATATATTCATTGTCCTGGAATTATATTGTTTCAGACGTAGATGATTCGCGATATTTATTGTCCGAGAGTTACGAATGAGAACCTGCGATCTTGTCGTATATTTCGTTAACCCTTTGACTGCGAAGAGCGTATATATTCCGAGCGTTCCTCGGGAAATAAGTTCAAAGAAATGTTTGTATTGGTTACATCAATTTTTAGAAAATATCAGCTTATAGGGGATGATAGGATTAATTTATTGAAGGTGTCACTGCCAGACAGCCCTTAAGCAAACTTAAAGTAGGGAAGGAAATAGAAATTTGAATAATCAAAAATAAAGGAATCGTATTATTCAATAGAATTGAAGAAATGGGAGAAACTGAAGAATTGGGAAATTAAAGAAATGGGGAAACAGGAAATTAGGCAATTGTGGAATAGGAAGATTGAAAATAGAAATTAGAAACTGGGGATTGGTAGATTTAAGAAAAAATGAAAATTAGAGAGATGAAAATTAAGGAATTAAGAAAATGGAGATTAAAATAACAGAAAATTTGGAAATTAAGGAAATAAGGAAATGTTGAATCCGGGAGAAAACGAAACAGGAAATGAAGAAACAATTTAGAGTCTGAGAAATGGTTTCTAACAACTTGAAAAACTTGTTAGTACTTTTACCGAAAATATTACGATATTATTAACTCTTATCTCATGTGCTCCGCTCCTGAAGCCATGGATGCTGAAACGTCGCAAAACATAGCACCGCAGACGATGTTAATGCGAACCAGTAGGTCAGCTTCTAGAACGAGGCTAGAGGCTCCTGGCAAATCCGGTGTCAATGAGATCGATTCACCCGACTTTGTCGCTCCAGTTATCGACTGGGAACTGGACCGTCTGGTTCCTTCTCGATGACGTTTCTTTGCGTCCACTGTAATTCGAGTGATGCAAACGGAGGATACTTAACGCAGACGAACATCTTACAGTCTTAAGGAAGTATTCTAGTCTAAAGCGTCAATTATTAGTTCTTTTTGAGGATTTTTTTTTTTTTTTTTAATCTATGCGGAATTTTTATAAAGAATTTCGCACACATATTTATTCACATTTATATCCAATTTTTGCAGGTAAAAATAATCAAAATTATATGTAGTACAGGTGAAAAAAAACTCTTGTACAGTTCCTCCTGAAAAAGTATGTTCGTGGCTGTCAGGATTCCAGGCGTTCTGCTTATTTGAAATGAAAAAGTCAAGCAACATCTCCATTAATATTAGCGTCGCTATGGCCCGCACCAAATGAATCATGAAATATTGACAATTCAAGAGATGACAGCACTTTAAAGCTTCAATATCGATTTTTTAATATTACATTGAAGTACTACACTTTGTATTCAAATTCTCTCTTTAATATTGAAATTCTAAATCTTACATTAAAGTCCATAGTTACATATTAAATTCTCAATTTAATATTAAAATTCTGAATTTTTCATTAAAACCCATAGATATACATTAAATTCTGAATGTTATACGTACACTGTCGTTCAAAACTATGTGTATACACTTGCTATTTTAAACAAATGTGTGATTTATGTGATTTTAATTGGAAAGTATGTAAATAACAAGTATGCATTTCATGTACAATAGCAGCATTTCATTGAAAAATGTAATTATTTAAATTCGTTAAATAACGATCAACGTATGGGATGTGTTTGTGCTGC